GAATCAACAACATCAAAAATAATATTTAAAACAATTTGAACAACACAAATTATATACATGAATATTAAATAACTTAACAAAAACAAAAAATATAATAATTTTGTTGTTTTTAGCCTATATACATACGCAATTTTTCATAATTTGTAGTTTTTCACCTATAAAAGTATTAATTAGATTCCTATATTTCCAAACTATTTAATTATTATGTAAGAAACAATTTTTCATCGCATTTTCGTCGTATTTCCAATTTGAGATTTCTAAGAAATGAGTTTCCGTCGCGTTTTCAAAACGGAATTAAAGTTTCCATCGAGTGTCCAAATTAAAATATTTTAGGAAACGCGTTTTCAAATTAAAATTTATTCGGAAACGCGTTTCCATGCAGTTTCCAAAAGTTTCGATTTCGAAACGTTTCAGAAACGGAAAACGCTTTTCGGACTGAGTTTCCATGCAACCTAGCTCCGAGTGTTTTAGTAAATTACTGATAAAAGAATAAAAGTAAATGGCTCCAAGAATGCAAAATATCATTAAAAGTCCCCACTTAAGTTTTGAAAAGGATCATCATGGTCTTTGATTACGTTACATAACACGCACATAAAGATGCGTCATTATTATTTATTAAGATATACCGTACGTAACGTTAGACATTGATTCCTACTCTATTCTACAAGGAAAAAGAGCCGAAAGCAAAATTTTATAACTACTCAAAAGAAGACCCATCGTCATTTTTTTTCTTAAAAAATCGCAAATTGGTAAGGCCTTTTTTCAAAAAAAAAAAAACACAAATTGTACCAATTAGCAGGCTAGCAGCCCACGTGCCAAATTGCAAAAGGCAAAAATAATTTTTATACAATTAACAAGACTGATGAAAAAGAATAAGAAGACCACAGTGTTGACTATAAAAGATTTAAGAAAAGTTCAGGAAATATTTAAACGTTTATCAAAAAAAGATAAAGAAAGACAAGAGTAAACTAAATCGAAAGTTGGTCGAAAAATATAAATTTTAGAACACTTAATTATATGTTTTTTAACAAAATTAAAAAAAAAAAATTTAAAAGGAGAGAATTAGTCGTAAAAGCCCCTTAGTCTAACAGTAAAAGATTTACTGTTTTTTCACTAGGCATGAGATTAGATTTTTAAAGAATATATATATACATTTTTTTGAGAATTATGGATGTAATAGAAGCTTCTAGTATAATACAGTTATAGCCGTTTGATGTGTTGAGGATAAAATTGTCTACAGTGGATTCGTCCGTAATTTTGTTCATGTGGATTCGTCCGTAATCACGAATTTGATTGATTAGATTTTACGACCAAAAAAAAAAAGGATTGATTAGATTGTATATGAAATGTGATTGAAAGAAATTAGAAAAAATAACTAAATTAAGAACTTATTAGTCTGTTGATAAAAAGGAGAAAACTTAGTCCAAAGCCAGGCCACGACCGTTTGTGCGCAATCGAGTGTCATTGGGCTTTGACTGAACTTAATAGCCTTTTCATATTATGGATTTACACACTTGATTCTGATCTGAATATATCTTCATCTCCAAACGAGCTTTATTTTTGTTGTCTGGAGAGGAGTTATTTGAAGTTTTCCTGTATCAGTCAGAAGTATTACAGAGGATATTATAGAAAGTGCAGAACCAAATTGAGGTGGTGTATGTTTGCTAAGGAGTGCTTGAGTATTAACGTGGGCTAAACTAGAAAAAGAAAAAAATTATTTACTTGGAAGAAAAAAAAAATATTTAAAATATTTTTTAGAGAAAAATAAGAAAAGGATAATTATAAGGAAGAAAAATGTCTTTAGGGTTAAGGAGGTGCACTTTATAAGTATATATAGAGAGGTACGGTGGCTGAGTTCTTTTACGTCTCTTAGAAGAGAAAAATATAGAGAGTTCATTGAGAGAAGAATGTGTCTTCCT